TTTTGTATTTTTATTTTTATTTATTTATTTTTTTTGAGATGGAGTTTCGCTGTTGTTGCTCAGACTGGAGTGCAATGGCACGATCTCGGCTCACCTCAACCTCCGCCTTCTGGGTTCAAGCAATTCTTCTGCCTCAGCCTCCTGAGTAGCTGGGACTACAGGCGCGCACCACCATGCCCAGCTAATTTTTGTATTTTTAGTAGAGACGGGGTTTCACCTCGTTGACCAGGATGGTATCCATCTCTTGATCTCCTGATCCACCCTCCTTGGCCTCCCAAAGTGCTGGGATTATAGGCGTGAGCCACCACGCCTGGCCTAATTTTTGTATTTTTAGTAGAGACAGGGTTTCATCATATTGGCCAGGCCAATCTCAAACTTGACCTCGTGATCCACTTGCCTTGGCCTCCCAGAGTGTTGGGATTACAGGCATGAGCCACTGTGCCTGGCCCTGGTTAATTTTTTAATTTTAATTTTTATAGAAATTGGGTGGGGTCTCACTTTGTCGCCCATGCTAGTCTCTAACTCCTGGCCTCAAGTAATCCTCCATCTTCAGCCTCCCAAAGTGCTGGGACTACAGGTGTTAGCCACTGTGCCTGGCCTATAATGCAAGAGGGGACTGTGTGGAGTAGGTGTGCCCCGGATCTTTACTTGCCTTTGGGGACTGAGGTGTGAGCTCTGTGGCCCAGACTGAGTGACTGTGGGCAGGCAAGTCCCTGAGCCCCTAAAACTTCTGAGAGGAGCGGTTTATAGAGTACAACTCAGGTGCCTATAAATTTGTTGCAGCTTGGGAAGAAGTGATAGAAATTATATCAGGTGTATTTGGTAGACAGGTAAACTCATTTTTTTAAAATTAGTTATTAATTATAATTTCAAGTTTTTCTGAGATGTAAAAACTCAGCGCCTTCAGCTGGTTCTAAACTTCTTGTCTGTTAACAGCTCCCCTCCCCTCCTCGATCTCACCCCATCCCACCGCACCCCAACTCACTTAGTCTCTCCTTACCCGAGTGTAGCACACTGTCTTTTGGGGATCTGGAAGCTACTGGCGATAAGGTCAGTTGGGAATTTAGGAGGTCCTGGATGTCGGAAATAAAGGTGTGAAAAGAAGAGGTGGAATTGTTTTGGCTTTAAGTCACCGGAACCTCCAAGGTTCCTGAAAAACCATGTGCAGCTTTTGCAGACCGCCTTAAAGTCATCAGCGCCCCACTGCGGAATTCAAAGCTAAGCTGTCACAATTGTTAACACCTTCTTTGACCAGCCTTTTTATATTTGATAATTCTTCTCTTCCGCGCCTCTTTCTTGCCAGCAGGAAGGTTCTGCTGCCTTGGTTTTAGGGAGCCCCCTAGACAGTGAACTGTACCTTCGCGTGCAGAAGTCGGGGTAAGTGCTCTCAGCTCGCCTTCCTTGCAGGGTGAGTAGGTTTTGCGGTTAGAAAGCGGGGCGTGGGGGCGGGGAGGGAGAGTAACAATTTTGGAAGTCCCTGCGTGGTATCTGGAAAGTTAATGACGCTTCAGGTTCTAGGTTGAGCCCAATGACCGCCTCGCCTGGACAGCTGGCCCCGGGGCGAGTGCGGAGCCACGCGGCCTTCGGCCCCACTCAGGGAACCCAGCTTCCGCGAGGGCGCCGGGGCTGCGAGTCTTGCGAGCCGCAGGAGCCGCGTACACGCGGGACTCGCCGAACGCCTGCCAGTAGCGCTCCCTGGGACCGCGCAAGGTCCGGGGTGCGCCCTTGGGGGCCCTCCCACTCTGGTCAACTTTCCCGGCCCCAGGGCCGGGGGAGGCGCCTCCCCTGGCGGGCACGCGCGGGGTACTTAAGGGCGGCTCTGCGGGGCCGCCAGCAGTCGGAGCGCGCGGCGGCGCGGAGCGGAGCAGGAGGAGGGGCATGGAGCCGCCGCGGGCCTGCTGAGCTCCGGAGCGCGGCCGCCGGCGGCACGGTGAGCACAAGCCGGCCGGCACCCAGGAGGGGCGGGCCGCGCAGGGCTGCGCCGGGGCCGAGGCGCGCAGGACGCCAAGGGTGCCTCTCGCTGAGCCCCCCCCGCACCCCTCCAGCTCCCAGCCCTGCAGGCGCAGCGTCCGGCGCAGGGAGGCGGGCTGGGGGCGGTGGCAGCCCCAGGCTTCGCGGCGGCCGTTCCCGCAGCCCCCTCCCCACTGACCCCTCCTCCCTTTCTTCCTGCATCCTCTCCTTCAGCCTCGCCTCCTTCCTCCCTGGCGGCTCCTGTTTTGTGAATGAATTAGGAGGTGGACGCCGGTGCGGGGCTCCTGGCTGGTTGGGGTAACCCTCCCTGGCACCTTCCACGACCTCCCGGGGGTTCGCACCTGTCCGGGCACTAAGGTACCAGGCGCCCAGGTTCCTGCGGGTCGGCTGGGCCGCGGCAGCACGTGTCCGGGGGACTGGGCTCCCCTTCCCTGGCCGGCTCAGAGGGACCAGGAGGGTGGCCGGGCACTAGAGGAGGAGCCCCGCTGGGCGCACAAGTTTCCCTGCCGCTGCGTGTGGCCGTGCCGAGGGGCGCACCTGTCAGCGGGAGAGACGCTACACACCAGCAGCCCCTCAAAGTTTCCGAGGCTGGATGGAGACGCGTGCGTCTTTGGCTGGGGGTTCTCCTTGCGTCGTCCCAGGAGCTGGACTTAAGAGCGCCCCCAACCTTGTGCCCTTGAAAGCCGAGTGCGTGTTAGTTTGCCTGGTCTGGGCTCCCGTGGAGGAGCTAAGGGCATGAGGAGGCGGCGGTCCAGGCTGTAGGATCACCCCGGGCCTCTGCCGGCTTGGGAGTGACACAGCCCCCCGCCCCCGGGCTAGGCAGAAAGACCTTGACCAAAGCCTGCACCAGCCCCTGACTGCACGTGGGGTATCCGGCTGCGGGACGTTTTGGGGGCCTCTATTTGGGCGTAGGTGGAGTAACCCGGGTAATGCCTCCGATTCCTGCGGGGGAGGGGTCCCGCCTAGGGAAGGAGAGGGCCGACGACATCGGAGATGCGCCTTTGTCTACAGGCACACTTTGCCAAGGTAGCTGGGGTTCCTGGAAGAAGAGTAGGGCCTGGTCCGATTGGGATTCCTTGGGTTTTCGGTTTCTTCCTGGTTGGGTCGTGGGAAACCGGCACGTGGGTGTGGCCGGTGCCGCCTTTGCCAAGAGGCAAGGCTCGAGCGGGGACAAGAAGCGTGGTGAGTTCATTCTCTGCTGCTTTAACCTGGTGGGCTCCGCCTTCGGCACTGCACCGAGGCGGGGCGCCAGCGCCCAGGTTGCCAGGCTGGCCTTGGCGCCCTCTTCCCCTGCCCAGAGCGCAGTCAGGCAGGGGGCTGTCGCACCCCTTCAGCATGTAAGCTCCGGAGGGGAATGGGGGCGCTCCTGGGCTGCGGATGCAGGCCTGGGGACTCCTGGGCCACAGACGCGAGCAGAAGGGTGGGAACAGGGAGGGCTGAGTCCTGTGAGGGAAGCACCCGGTGGGCTCTCAGGACGGTGGGGCAGAGCGCCCAGAGGCCGCGCTTCCTGGAGAGGCAAGGCTGCCAACAGCTCTTTCCTGGCCAAAGCTGCTGGAAGGCTGCTGGTGCCTGAGTCTCAGGTAGACTTAGGCGGTGACTGTGTGTTCCTGTTCCTTCTATGTGAGAGGGGTCCCGTCAGCAAAGTGCGTGCTTTGGGGGCTCCAGACCTAGAGTTGGAGCAAGCTTGGAAGTGAGGCATCATTGTCTGTAGAACTGAATGAACATGGGGTTCTCTAGATCAGGCAGGTGGCAGAGAGGGGATGGGGTGCCTCAGAATGGGAGGGTGGGCAGCCATCCTTGTTACCTCTTCTTTCCCCTCCCTCACATCCCTCTACCCACCTGCTCTGGAGGAAACCACAGTCGGCCTCACCACTAGGGTAGCTCATCAGGGCTGTGTTTCCATTTTTCAGGAAATGATTTACCTGAGACATGAAGGAAGAAACCAGTAGAACTACCATTGTGCTATGGGGAGACCAAGTCTCAGAGAACTGGGGCAAGGTCAGACAGCCAGGAAGCACAAGCACTTAAACCCAATTCTCTGATGCCACGTCCTGGGCTCTTATAAAATAAAGCTGTTTGCAACAGGGCAGATGGTAGGGGCCCTGACTTAGTTGAAGATGGAAGCTGGATATTGTTTCCAGGAGTTGGCTGGGCAGGGGGACAAGCACGGAGATGCATGCTGCACGGGCACTAGGACCAAGCGGATGGGACGCCCAGGCAGCCACCGTGGAGGCTTCTGCAGTGGCGGCTGCTGCTCCCTGTGTGCCCTTTAGCACTGGGCTCTAGGAGGCTGTCCACTCCCCAGCTCGCATTTCCTGCTCTGCTTCTCCCACTGCTTTCCCTTTCTTTCCTGCCTCGCAAGTAGAAGGTGAGAAAGCGGAGAACAAAGGGAAAGTTTCTCTCTCTAATGCTGTCTTGAGAAAGGGAAGCTGCTGCTTCCCCCCCCCCAACCCCATGCCCCTTTGTTTGCTGTTTCTTTTCCTCCTGCACTTTCTTCTTGAGTCTTATTGGTGGCTGTGCTTTACTGGTGAATATCCTCTCCAGGAGGTCGGAGGAAGCTCTTAGGCCACTGGCTGCCTCCCTGACCCTCACGTGCCCAGAGTGCCTCAGGCTTAACCTCCTGACGCTTACCTCTTCAGCACTTTGGGTCAGGTAGAGCCCACTGCTGCCACCCACCAGCCAGGTATCACATAACCCTCTGAGCCCTGGCTTGTCAGACAATAATCAGTGCTACTCTGAAGGCTTTGTATGTGTCGCCCATTTAACTCTGAAAGATGCTGTGAGGTTAGTCCTGCAACCCACATTTTACAGTTGGCGTGACTAAGGAGGCACAGACAGCAAGTGGCAGAGCTGGGATCTGAACTCCAGTAGTCCGGCTCCTGAGTCTACCAAGTCTTAGTCATGCTCAGTAAGCGGTAACGGTTTTGATTAGTAGGTCATTCCCACTAGTAGTAGAGAATGCCAATGCTCCCACAGACTGGAAATGCTGCCTCCTTCCTGACCCTCCATCTCCTGCCTTCTCCCGCCAGATGCCGGTACAGCTGACGACAGCCCTGCGTGTGGTGGGCACTAGCCTGTTTGCCCTGGCAGTGCTGGGTGGCATCCTGGCAGCCTATGTGACAGGCTACCAGTTCATCCACACGGAAAAGCACTACCTGTCCTTCGGCCTGTACGGTGCCATCCTGGGCCTGCACCTGCTCATTCAGAGCCTGTTTGCCTTCCTGGAGCACCGGCGCATGCGGCGGGCTGGCCAGGCCCTGAAGCTGCCCTCCCCACGGCGGGGCTCGGTGGCACTGTGCATCGCCGCATACCAGGAGGACCCTGACTACCTGCGCAAGTGCCTGCGCTCGGCCCAGCGCATCTCCTTCCCTGACCTCAAGGTGGTCATGGTGGTGGACGGCAACCGCCAGGAGGACGCCTACATGCTGGACATCTTCCATGAGGTGCTGGGTGGCACCGAGAAGGCCGGCTTCTTTGTGTGGCGCAGCAACTACCATGAGGTGGGCGAGGGTGAGACAGAGGCCAGCCTGCGAGAGGGCATGGACCGTGTGCAGGATGTGGTGCGGGCCAGCACCTTCTCGTGCATCATGCAGAAGTGGGGAGGCAAGCGCGAGGTCATGTACACAGCATTCAAGGCCCTCGGAGATTCGGTGGACTACATCCAGGTAAGAGCGCCTCCCTAGGAGCCTGTATACATGGGGATGTGGCTGGCCAGCCAGGCAAACTCTCCAGGAATCTGAGGTCTGCTCTAGGTCCCTTGGGTTGTACACACACCTCTACACTTAAGGCAACAAGGCATAATGGTTCTGAACAGCGGTCTGGGGTCCAAAAGACCTGGGTGGAATCCCTGTTCGCCATTACGCAGCTCTGTGATTTGGGCCAGATCTGTAACTGCTGTCCCAGTAATAATAATAGCAAATGGCTGTACAGCACAGTGGTAGGTACTTATTTATTTTTGAGACAGTCTCACTCTGTTGCCCAGGCTGGAGTGCAGTGGCCTGATCTCAGCTCACTGTAACCTCTGCCTCCTCGGTTCAAGCAATTCTGCCTCAGCCTCCCTGGTAGCTGAGATTACAGGCGCCTGCAATCAGGCCCAGCTAATTTTTTGTATTTTTAGTAGAGACAGGGTTTCACTTTGTTGCCCAGGCTGTTCTCGAACTTGTGACCTGAGGCGATCTACCCACCTCAGCCTCCCAAAGTGCTGGGATTACAGGCGTGAGCCACTGCACCCACCTCCACTTTAGTTCTTTTAATCCTCAAATCACTCCCAGGAATAAGTAGCATTATCTCCACTCATAGAAGGTGAAAGCAAAACACAGAGAAGCTAAGTAACTTGTCTGATGTCCCACTGCTAGTAGAGTGCAGAGCCAGGATTTGTCTGTGTCAAGTCTATCTCAAGTCTTACTGTGGTGCAGCACTGCCTCAGCACTGCCAACGTGGGGCTGAATCTCTTCACAAGGAAGCGTGGTGAAGAGCAAAAGAAACCATCCTCAGAAATACTCAAAATATTCTAGTAATGGCCAAAAAGTCCCACTCTTCCTGGTATCAAAGTCGTGGCTGGGAGGTGAGAGACACAGGTGCGAATGACCAGCTTCATTTTGTAGCAGCATTGGCAGGGCCAGGACCCTGATTAAACCCTGCCTAGTGGAAACTATTAGGTTGACATGGTTTCCGTCTTCAAATAAAAAAAACTCAAGAGTTGAAAAGTTGAAAGTCCACACATTTTGGTACAAAGTAGAAACCAAAACCTAGGACCCTGTAGGCCAGGATTCTTTTTTTTGTTTTGTTTTTGGAGATGGTGTCTCACTCTGTTGCCCAGGCTGTAGTGCAGTGGCACCATCTTGGCTCACTGCAACCTCTGCCTTCCAAGTTTAAGCGATTCACCTGCCTCAGCCTCCCAAGTAGAGTAGCTGGGATCACACGTGTGCACGACGACACTTGGCTAATTTTTGCATTTTTAGTAGAGATGGGATTTTACTACATACGTCAGGCTGCCCTTGAACTCCTGTCTTCAGGTGATCCACCCGCCTCAGCCTCCCAAAGTGCTGGGATTATAGGCATGAGCCGCCATGCCCAGCCTGGGCCACGATTCTTGACAGCATCCAGGCTGCCTCTCTTCCTGACTCTGTTATCTGACTGTCCTCCTCCACACCTGCCAGAGCAGGGTGCTGCCCATCCCTTGGTCAGTGCTTAAAGGTGCAGTGGCTGTCCTGCCAGCCCACCTGTGTACCAATTCATTCTGCTGATAGCATTTTGAGTCCTCTAATACTATTTTTCTCTAGTATACCCACCTAAAATTAGCTCACTGAGATTGCATGTCTGGCTTTGGATAGCTGTCTTTGCATAAGGGTTGATGTTTATCTTCTTCTGGCTTCCTAGGCCCAGGACCTCCTCAGCCATGGAGGGAGTGAGGAGAGCCTAGCAGGCTATTTGACTGTAGTTCACTTAGGGTCATGGGACCTTGTGGAACTTTCCTGGGGACCCAAATGCTTAGGGAAAAGCCCCTGAACCCTGGCACAGGCTCAAGCCACAGTGACTTTGTCATCAATTCCCTGCAAACACAAGATCTCACCTCACCGCCCCCCCACCCCCACCCCACCATCTCCGTTTCCTGGTGGTCTGGGTTCTGGTGGATCAGCAAACAGGCTCACACACCTGAGCTATCTCTTTACAGCCCTGGGATCACTGCGTAAGGCAGCCCTGGGCCAGAGCCATAAGCGCTTGCTGGATTTCAGCCTGTATTCCCACCGCCTGCTGCGGTGGGTCTCTCTCTCTCTAAGGCAGAACTCTGCCCCAGCCAGTGGGGAAACCCAGGCAGCACAGACCTCTTCCTTCCCTAACATTGCTCAGTTAGAAAGCCCTCCCTGGTCAGAAGGAAGCAAAGCAGCATATAATGAATGGGCTAGGGGAGAGGAGGGAGGAGCAGCAGCAGCAGCAGCAGCAGCAGCAGCAGCAGTAGTAGTGCCGGGAGTCTTGGCCTGTAAGTGGAGGAGACTCTGGAGTCTGGCCTGAGGCTTCCCAGGCCCTTCCCAGGCATGGAACAGGATGTAAGGATGTGTCTGGTAGGGAAATGGGAAGAAGCACATGTGAGGGACCCAGCCTGATGCTGAGGCTGTTCTGATTCCCCTTTAGCCTTCTACTGCTTGTCTGTGGCCACCCTGTCTTCCAACATAGAGAAAGCTGGGTGGGGTTGTGTCAGAGGCAACCTCCTTCCAGCCGGGATCTTATTCAGCAATTTTAATACAAGGATTTTAGGCTTCTGCAGAACAGGGTTTTTGTCCATCTGTGGACCTGTTTGTTGCTCTCCTAACAGTGACCACAGAGCGAATCAGGTCTGTAAATCAGTTCTCCTGCCCAGTGCTTACTGGATTCTTCATACCACTTTGGTAATTTTTTTAGAAAACAATTAAGCAGTCAGCCATTAGGGCAAGCACTGATAGCCCAGGTTCAACTCACAATGGGACCACCTGTTAGAATCAGGCCATAAGCCTCCCAAGAGCTGGGCCCAGTTGGCCCTGTGGTTTGCTTGGAGGCACCTGCTGCAGCATCCATGCCTATTGAAAGCAGCTTCCAGGGGGAGCCCTCGGCCATACTGTGCCCTGTTCTGAGAGGTTTGGCCAAGGGAGTCTGTTGAGGGTGCAGAGACTGGCAGCTTTGTTACTGGTGTCATGGAGGTGCCTGCAAGTAGGTAGACTGGTAACCACCACTGGGCTGCAGGTTGTCTAAAGGACCACAGGCTGATGCGGGGACCCTGTGGTTAACCCTGTGGGGTCAGCTCAGGCTGTACGTAGTCTGTTAGCCCTGGCCTACCCTACTGTGCCTGTCATCTGAGTTCAGTGATGTGTTCCCCTACTCCCCAAGGACCCCAGAGAAATATTTTGAGGCCAATTCTGTGGCACCTGGCTCCATAGGGCTAAAAAAGGGTACGGTGCTAAGTATGTTTCCCTTTCCAAGCCTGACACCTACTGTCTTCAGGGTTTCTCCCTCTCAGCCTAGTACCTGTCAAGCCTATAGCTGAACTAACTCTTCTTTTCCTACCTTTCGTTTTTCCTTTGGCACCTTCTGGTGGCACAGATCTCTTAGCTAGTGGCTGGAAGTGAGTCATGTGAGGGGGGTTATGTCTCAGGCAGTGAGCAGTGATGGGGGCGGGGTGTGCAGGCCTGACGTCAGAATGGGCTGACAGCACACTCCCTCTGCAGGTGTGCGACTCTGACACCGTGCTGGATCCAGCCTGTACCATCGAGATGCTTCGAGTCCTGGAGGAGGATCCCCAAGTAGGAGGAGTTGGGGGAGATGTCCAAGTAAGATGTCACCAGGGATATCTGGGGGGAGGGGTCTGGATTTCCTCCTAATCCCATTGGATATGCCTGGGAAATGGGTGTCTTGACTTCCTAGTACTTGAGGGGAGTTTCCTTGCTGGCAATTTTCACTGACACCAAAGAGCGTGCCTCCCTCACTGCCAACCCCTTTCTTGCTCTTCTTCCACATGAACGGAAGTCATTTAACAGGTATGGAGAAGAGTCTATACTGTAGGAGGGGCACAGTACTTTGAGGCCTTAGATCCTAGAGGGCACTTCCTTTTTGGCCGGTGATGCAGCAAGTAGCTCCAAACCTAGATCTTTGAGGAGCCCTTGCTCTTAGGGAACGAGCTGAAGACCTCCGGGCAATACAGTAAAAATAAGGGGCCCAATCTGCCAGAGATACTCAAGTAACATCCCAGGGCTCCCTAGAACTTTCCAACCACAGAAGGCTTAGGACAGGTGGGAGGCAGTATATTGGCTTCTTCCCAAGCCCCCTTCTCTGCCACCACCACAGGCTGCCTCCTGAGATTGAAGGTGGTTTTGACCGCTAGAGCCACTTAGCAGGAAAAATCTCTGCAGAGGGAATGACACAATAGGGAGGTAGAGCTGGTGCTGGGGACAGTGAATGGGTGTGGTTGGCTCCTCTGAGCCTCACGTTTCCCAGCTCTGAAGGAACCAATGGCCAGGAATCTGAGCAATGGGCCACAGTAGCCATGGTAAGGAGGCTTCGTGGTCTCTGGTGTCTGTGTCCTCCAGGTGTAGGTTGTTAGGTGGGGAGGCCCAGCGTCTCTATTCCCTTGCAGATCCTGAACAAGTACGACTCGTGGATTTCCTTCCTGAGCAGCGTGCGGTACTGGATGGCCTTCAACGTAGAGCGGGCCTGCCAGTCCTACTTTGGTTGCGTGCAGTGTATTAGCGGGCCTTTGGGCATGTACCGCAACAGTCTCCTCCAGCAGTTCCTGGAGGACTGGTACCATCAGAAGTTCCTAGGCAGCAAGTGCAGCTTCGGGGATGACCGGCACCTCACCAACCGAGTCCTGAGCCTTGGCTACCGAACTAAGTATACTGCACGCTCCAAATGCCTCACAGAGACCCCCACTAAGTACCTCCGGTGGCTCAACCAGCAAACCCGCTGGAGCAAGTCTTACTTCCGTGAGTGGCTCTACAACTCTCTGTGGTTCCATAAGCATCACCTCTGGATGACCTACGAGTCAGTGGTCACGGGTTTCTTCCCCTTCTTCCTCATTGCCACTGTCATACAGCTTTTCTACCGTGGCCGCATCTGGAACATTCTCCTCTTCCTGCTGACGGTGCAGCTGGTGGGCATCATCAAGGCCACCTACGCCTGCTTCCTTCGGGGCAATGCAGAGATGATCTTTATGTCCCTCTACTCCCTCCTCTATATGTCCAGCCTTCTGCCAGCCAAGATCTTTGCCATTGCTACCATCAACAAGTCAGGCTGGGGCACCTCTGGCCGAAAAACCATCGTGGTGAACTTCATTGGCCTCATCCCTGTGTCCATCTGGGTGGCAGTTCTCCTGGGAGGGCTGGCCTATACAGCTTATTGCCAGGACCTGTTCAGTGAGACAGAGCTAGCCTTTCTTGTCTCTGGAGCCATCCTGTATGGCTGCTACTGGGTGGCCCTCCTCATGCTTTATCTGGCCATTATTGCCCGGCGATGTGGGAAGAAGCCTGAGCAGTATAGCTTGGCTTTTGCTGAGGTGTGACATGACCCCCAAGCAGAGCGGGTAAAGTGCAATGGGTAAGGGAGGGAAGGGGAACAGAAGAAGAAAAGATGGGGAGGGAGGAGGGAGGAGGGAGTGCCGTGTTTTAGTCTCTTAATGGTCCAAAGGACAAATCTAAAATGCAAAGAATGGTGACGTAGTGTGGCCTGGAAGCTCTGCTTAGAGGAGGCAGCACTGATCCCCAGGTGCAGGGCAGGAGTGGCTTCTGTGTTTCCAGGCTGCCTGTCTCCTTGCATCTGCATGTGGGCAGTAGCCTCCCCCTGGGCTCCAGAGGGCACTCAGAAGTGTGCTAAGCCAATTAAGTCCCATTTAGTGGCAGCTTGTGATAGGTACCTGAGTGATGGCAACCTGTGGAAAGAGGTTCTCCCAGCCCATCTGAACACAACCAGAGGTGGCAGGAGAATTTCTACTGAGCGAGCTGGGCTGGTTAGTGTATGTTACCCCCACCCCACCCCTAAGTAGTTATCAATGCAATAAGATTGCACCTGAGATACAAGGCCCAGAAGCCTGATCTCTGGGCATCAGAAAACAGGGTCCAGGAATGGTGCTTTATGTGAGATACTCCACTCCACATCAACATTCCAGGGATGAGCCAAACCAGCAGGGAGTTAGCACTGAACTGCTTTTAAAGTGTACACTAAAAAGGAAAGTTTGCCAGGAAGAACAAAGAGATTGTGGTGGTGCTAAAGGAGGCCCTAAGCTATATGGAGGCCTTGGGTGTTCCACCTGGAAATTGCTCAGACATCTAGATGGGCTCTTAGCTTGTCGGTGATCTCTGCTGGGGAGATAAAAAAAGATCAAGCCCCAACATGTTCAGAAAAGAAGTGAAGTCTTGGTATTTTAACCCGTATACTCTGAATTCCTCTCAAATTCAGCTCTGATCTGAGGCTAAGACACTCACTTCACTTTCTTCAAAAGCAGTTTTTGAGGTGTAACAGCAGTCACCTCTTCTACTGTCATCATCATGGGTAAGTTTTTCAAGGTAGCAACTGGGGCAGAGCCCAGGCTCTTATAGAACCCTCCACAGGAGGCAAGCCTGTTCTCGGAACATATGGGAACTATGAGGAGCCTCTGATCAAATTGGCTACAATCTTGTAGTTGCTTGGACAGATTCCTTGGCAGTCGGGTTAGCGTGTGTGATGTTCAGGCTACTGTTCTTGACAATCATCTCCAATGGAAAGCTTTTCAGTGTTCCCAAAGTGAACTCTCAAATCCAAAATGGTTATCTTTAAGACCATCCATTCTCCTCAGTGGCTTCTCCAGGGAATTCTTACAGCCAAGTTGTGACAGTCACTGCATTGCTTGCTTTCCAGAAACCAAATTAGGAGATAGAGCTGGTTCCTGCATCCTAAGGTTCTTGCTTTCTCTGTCTTCTGAGGCTGTTTTCCCTCTGCTGCTTTTGGAGAATGAGGGGAAGCCATATTCCAGTGACTTGCAATCCATGCTGTTCTCAGCTTTTGAGTTTAAAACCTGGGATCCTCAGCCTTTAACTTAGAGGTTGCTTGCTTGCCCTCCAAATGTCGTTTCTGAGGGGCCAGCTAGCCCGTGCAGAACCAGCACTAATGTGGACAGCAGCAGACAGGGCAAGCCTCTAGTGTACCGCGGTGCTTCCTACAAAGACGCAAAGTGTGCTCTGAGCCACAGATGGGCAAACTCTGGTGCTTTCCTTCATCTCCCATGAACTCAAGGGTTTTCCAGGTGTAGCCAACAGTTGTCACATCACACAGACTGAGTTTCTGCTAAGACTGGTGGTTGACATAGGACCCAACCCATGAAAGCTGGAAGGCAGCAAGCATTTGCTAAGGCCGCCCGCTCCAGGCAATCGTTCTGCTGGCCAAGAAGTAAACTATTTTGAGCATTACAATGGAGGAAATCCGGTCAACCAAGTGCAGAGTTCAGACTTCACTAAGGGCTTGTTTTTCTTCAGCATTTACTTGAAGATTAACGTAGAATGACAGGCTGTCCCACCAACAGCTCTGCCTTGCACTGTGGTCATCAACTTTCCTCAAATCAAAAATAGGCAGGTACAGGTAGTGGGCTCACAACGTTTGACCTCGACTGGTTTTTCTAAGTTATTTTGTGTATTTTTCAGCAGCAAAACCAAACTGGGTCTTCAGCTTTATTCCCATTTCTGGCAAGGGAAGAGCCTTTATACAATTGGACGCATTTTGGTTTTTCCTCACTGAGAATTCTAATCCTCTTTTGTATTGTTTTTACAATAATTTGTAAACATATTTATTTTTACCTGCCTTTTTTTTTTTTTAACTTTTCAGGTCAAGTTTTTTATACTGCACTTGTCAAAATAAAGATTCTCACATATGCTGGTTATCTCTGAACTACTACTTTGTACTTAATGAAAGCTAGCTCTTTATTCCAGTTTCAAAGGAGGGACTTTAATATTAGAGTTTTGTTGGGGGGACCCAAGACTGGGCAACATGTCCATTCTGGTAACTGTACACTCATGGGGGCTTCACTTTCAGTGTAGAGGGTCTTTGGTGAAATAACTGGCAGATGAATGAGCCCTTGCTAAGGCTAAAAACCAAAGCTTGTTTCCTCTTGGAGCAAGTGTTTTAGCTGACAAGATGTAAGACTCCGGCCACTCTAAGACAAAAGCAGAGTTACAACTTCCTTCCCTATCAATCAAACAGGTAATAAAATAGAGTGACACCAGCAGCCCTCTCATCCCATTTATTAAAGAAACAGTAAGAAAAGATACAATGCAAGAAAACCACCAACCATCCTTTCACATCAGGCTGAACAAAGCACAGTGACTTATTCCCTTAATTCCCTCACCCCCACCCCAATTCCCATATTCCCACCCACATCAATTTAAATTTTTGAGGTTCTTTGATTGGGAGTACCAGTAAGGAGGGAGTTGGATGAGTAGAGGAGCCTTAAATCTGGCCACCTCTAAGTCCCAGGAAGAGAGGTGCAGACCCAGTCAGTCAAGCAGAAACTGCATTCGGTGGGTCTTTGAAGTGGTTGTCCATCTCCCTGTTCTGTGTCCAAGCCCCCAGGGAAAGGTATGGCAGTAGAGGATGACCAGGTCCAAGCTGCCCAGGTCAGAGCTATAGAAGCATGATCCATTCACCAACACCACGTTTCTAGAGAGCAGTGAGCTGATTCTCCAATGGTGAGCAGGGTACTACATGTGAACTGGGACCTGCAGGCCAATGTATCCCTGAGGAAAAGTCCACAAGAACAATTCAAGAAACTAGTAGGAAACAGGCAGAAAGCTGCGGGACGAAAGCACGGAAGGCTTCTGGGAGCTGGAGATCCTTTTCTCAAGGCCAGGACTATTCCCACCTGCCACAGTTCACATGCCACAAACAACATCTCACCTTCAGTCAAGAAAAACGCAGAAGAAAAAGATAGCTCATTTGAACTTGAGCCCCAGCTATGTTCTTCAGACTGCAGCTCCACAACTACCCTTTTACCTAAGAGACAGCCCCTGCCAAGAACCACAGTGCCTAGAAACCAAGGTGGTCCTGGAGGGAAAATGATGTTTAAGGGGGTAACATTCCATTTGGGTATATTGCAGCCATTGGACCCCCTGGTCTGGGGAAAGCAGCTGGGTTTGTGCCAGGGAGGCTCCCCACTCTGGGAAATGGGACAAAACTCTTGCCTGCAGGGCCATTCATCCTTGGAAAGGAAGCTGGGTTGAGACCCAGGGTCCCAGTTGGCCTTGCAAAAGGAGCTGGGTTGATACCCATAGGGCCTGCTGGAGAAGAGCCCAGGTGCCCAGCAGCTGACCTGGGGAAAGCAACTTGACCAGAGCCTAATGGACCAGTAGACCTTGGGAAGGTAGTTGGACTTGGACCCTGCAGGCCAGCAGCCCTTGGGAAGTTAGCTGGGCTGGAGCCAAGTGGCCCAGAGGCTCTTGGGAAAACTGTTGGATTTGAGCCCTGGAGGCCAGCAGACCTTTGGAAGGTAGCTGGGTTTGATGCCAATGGGCCAGAAGATTGAGAGAAGGCAGATGAACCCACTCCCCTGGGAAACGGATTGGCATTTACCCCCATGGGGCCACTTGGCCTTGAGAAATGAGCCGAATTAGGGCCTATGGGGACAGGAGCCCTTGACATGGGAGATGGGTTTGGCCCTGTAAGGCCAATTCCCCGAGAGCCAGGACCTGAGTTTGGGCCCATCGGGGCAGGTACTCTTGCCATGGAAGATGGGCTTGGGCCCATGTTTCCAGAAGCCTGTGTGAACGAAGCCGAATTTGCTCCTAAAAGACCTGCTGCTCTAAGAATGGGGGCAAGATCGAGGCCTTGAGGTCCAGCCATTCTTAAGTTAAGACCTGATCCTGTGCCCAAGAGGCCACCTGCTCTGGCATCTAGATTAGGGCTTGGGCCCAGGCCACTTGGTCTTGGGTTGGGCCCAAGGCCTGGGCCTGTAAACACACCTGACCTGGGGGCAGGGTTTGACCCTAAAAAGCCTGATCTCAGATTGGGGTTTGATCCTGGGCCCAGGCCAACTGGTCTAGGATTGGGAGGACCATTCCCAGAGCTCAACACAACACCTGCTCTCAGGTTAGGTCCAGATCCGGGGCCCATGGGACCACCACTTCTGGGGTCAGGACCTGCTCCCAGGAGACCACCTGCTCTTGGGTTGGACATAGGACCTGATCCTGGGAGACCCCCTAACCTGGGGTTAGACAGAGGCCCTGGGACTGGAAGACCCCCTGTCCTAGGGTTTACCACAGGGCCTGGGCCAGGGGCTGGCCCCAAGAGGCCACCAGGCCTTGGGAAAGAAACTGCACCTGTGCCTGTGGGATTCATCCCTCTTGGAAAAGAAGCCATGCTTGGGTCACGAGTACCAGCCGGGAAAGGTGCTGGATTTGAAGCCAGTGAGCCTGATGAAGCTGGAAAAGGAGATGGGTTCCTTGGAAATGGGGCCAGATTTCCACCAAGAGAACCGGCCGCCATAAGGAAGGGATCTGAGTTCACACCCAGTGGGTGGCCTGCGTTCAGAACAGGACCTCCCTGTGGTCCCAGGGAACCGTTGAGCCGTCCTCGAGGTGGCAGTGGAGCACGAGTCCAAGGAGTTGGCCGCTCTCTAGGGAATATCCGAGGTTCTTTCATACTTTCTTGGGGACGTTGGTGATAATGGGCTTCGGACGGATTTTGAAAAGGATCTTGTCTTTGATGAGTGCTGTCACCAGATACCGGGTGCCAGTTTCATGGCGAAGCTCATCGCAATCCTGATCCCCAGGAGTGTGTTTGACAAGGACTGCAAAAGGTTTCTCCAGGTGGATGATTTTCCCATACAGGATATGATGCCCCACAATCAGCACAGGGATTCCCTTTGGCAGAACAAGAACAAGATTCCTGAGGTTCAGGACAAGGCCATAACACTCAGGTGCCTCCTAAAGCTGCTCTTGGCAGGCTATGCCAGCACCTCCACTCCCTGGTCTAGCTCTGCCATTGCTGAGCAGCCACACTGGACCACCCACCCATGTGCCCTTTTTACTCTTTCTAGCCCCACATAAGAGTATTTCCACTTTCAGAAAAGTGAGCTTTCTAGATTCCCCAAAATTAAATTTCCCTGCTACTGTAGAGGTAGGGGGAGAACAAGCAGAGAGCATCGCAGATTAGCTAGACCCTGAATAACAAACCTGAGGCAGTCCTCACTCTGGGTCCTGGGAGCACCACCTTGGTGTAGCTTGCTTTCCTGAGGCATTAGGCAGGGAAAGAAAAGCCCCCTCACCTCAGTGGTGTAATGTAGGTCTCCCAGGAGGTTTCCAGCTAATCCAGTGCTGTAGCGAGCCTCGATCTCCCCCTGTAGCTCCATCAGCACCCATTCTGCCAGGCCTCCAGCCCTCGCACTGCAAGCAAAGGGCTGGCGGTTACAATATTTTTGAGGGGTGAAGGATGAATAGTGTCCTACACCACCATTCAAGGTCCAAAAGACCTCTTTGTTGGACATAAATTCTTGGGAAATTGGGCAGTGCTAGGCACTGAACTAGAGATGAGAATGCAAGGATTTGTGCAAGATGCACCTAAGGACCCTGATTCTTCCAAAAACATCTCACACCTCTATAGCCCGCATCATTTCAAGCCAAATTTTAAAATCTCAAAATGTGCTCACCTGGAAATAACAATTTGCACCATGAGCTTTCTGTCTTTAAATATCAAGTGAAAACAAGCTGTAGAGAAAAAAGATAAAGAGATTTAGGGTAATAATAATGACAACTAATTATTTTTTTCTTCCCTAAGATGGAGTCTTGCACTGTTGCCTGGGCTGGAGTGCAGTGGTGCAATCTCAGCTCACTGCAACCTTCGCCTCCTGGGTTCAAGCGATTCTCCTGCCTCAGTCTCCTGAGTCACTGGGATTACAGGTATCTGCCACCATGCCCAGCTAATTTTTTGTATTTTTAGTGGAGATGGGGTTTTACCATGTTGGCCTGGCTGGTCTTACTCCTGACCATGTGATCTGCCCGCCTTGGCCTCCCAAAGTGCTGGAATTACAGGTGTGAGACACCATGCCCAGCTGACAACTAATATTTATTACTGTGTGCTTTTCTAAGTGGTTTAGATACATTTTATCTTGTTCCTCTGACAATGCCATAAATGGAAGTATTCCCAATACAGTAAACATGAGATAAGGTTGCTTAAGATCACCAGTGGTCAACTGTATGTGCAAAAGTAATCAAGATCACATAGCTACTAAGAAAAAGATTATATGAACCTAAGACACAGATTGCCAAGACCATACTCTTGATCACTATGCTAATGTGCCTTTCTCAAGGATTTTTTTTTTAAGAGTCTCTCTTTGTCACCAGATCTGGAGTGCAGTGGCACTATCTCACCTTGCTGCAACCTCTGTCTCCCGGGTTCAAGCAATTCTCCTGCCTCAGCCTCCTGCGCTGGGACTACAGGCAGGCGCCACCGTGCCCAGCCAGTTTTTGTAATTTTAGTAGAGATAGGGTTTCACCATGTTGGCCAGAATGGTCTTGATATCTTGACCTCATGATCCTATCACCTCAGTCTCCCAAAGTGCTGGGATTACAGGTGTGAGCCACCATGCCCAGTCTCTTTTTTATCTTCTTTTGAGACAGGGTCCCACTCTGTCGCCCAAGCTGGAGTGCAGTAGCAAGATCACAGCTCACTGAAGCTTTTACTTCCTGGGCTTAAGTGATCCTCCCACCTTGGCTTCTCAAAGTGTTGGGATTACAGGCATGAGTCACTGTGTCCAGCCTAGAGTAGTCTATTTCCTACTATGTTTCTAAAAAAAAAAAAAAAAGCCTATGGAATTTAAGATTTTACTTTTTCTTTGGTAATGATACAAGCTTCAAGTTTACCTCCTTGGTTATCAAGGTTCAAAGGGTCTCCCTTTAAAAATAAAGTCAAAGGGGCCAGGCATGGTGGCTCAGGCCTATAATCCCAGCACTTTGGGAGGCTGAGGTGGTTGAATCACTTGAGGTCAGGAGATTGAGACCAGCCTGGCAAACACGGTGAAACCCGGTCTCTACTAAAAATACACAAATTAGCCAGGCATGGTGGCAGACCCCAATAATCCCAGCTAATCAGGAGGCTGAGGTAGAACTGCCTGGCCAGGTGCGGTGGCGTGTACCTGTAGTCCCAGCTACCCAGAAGGCTGAGGTGGGAGGATCACTTGAGCCTAGGAGTTCTGGGCTGTAGGGCACTATGCCAATCGGGTGTCCGCACTAAGTTCGGCATCAATATGGTAACCTCCCGGGAGCGGGGGACCACCAGGTTGCCTAAGGAGGGGTGAATCGACCCAGGTCAGAAATGGAACAGGTCAAAAACTCCCATGCTAATCAGTAGTGGGATCGCGCCTGTGAATAGCCATTGCACTCCAGCCTGGGCAACACAGCGAGACCCCACCTCTTAAAAAAAAATAGAATCACCTGAACCCTGGGAGGCAAAGATTACAGTGAGCTGAGATTGCTCCACTACACTCCACTCTGGGCAACAGAGTCAGATTCTGTCTCAAAAAATAAAGCCAAAGAAACTGAAAAAAATCCTCCAAGCACCTTTAGTGAATGGTAAGCTGACTGACTTCTGATGTGACTCTCATCAAAAGCTTTGACCACCTTTCACTTTGATATGAAAATATCCCAATACTTAGATAACAGACTTTGGCTGGGCACGGTGGCTCACGCCTGTAATCCCAGCAGTTTGGGAGGCCAAGGTGGGTGGATTGCCTGAGGTCAAGAGTTCAAGACCAGTCTGGCCAACATGACGAAACCCTATCTCTATGAAAAATACAAAAAATTAGCTGGGTGTGGTGCCTGTAGTCCCAGCTACTCGGGAGCCTAAGGCATGAGAATCACTGGAACCTGGGAGACGGGGGCTGCAGTGAGCCAAGATCACACCACTGCACTCTAACCTGGGAAACAGAGCAAGACACTATCTTCTCCCCACCTCCCCACCAAAACAAAAAAAAGACAACACCTTTTCCTTTTATACAACAGCAGCACCACCTGGTGGCAAATCTGGAGTACTTTACAAGAATGGGATATTTTTACCTGAAGATAAGGGGGTTCACTTTCTAGGAAGATTCATGGGTGTTTGAAGGGATATGGGACAAAAATTACAGCTTCTGGCTAAGTCCTATCAATGTATATATGGAGTTTAGCAGAAGGTTACTAGCTCAATGTTTTCCAACTACAGTATGGAAAGTTAGCAAGTGTTATAATTGTACTCAAGCTTAGCAAACACCTGATTAGAATGTTAAACAGACTTTTGTGTTTTTGTTTGTTTGTTTGTTTTGAGATGGAGTCTCACTCTGTCGCCCAGGCTGAAGTGCAGTGGCATGATCTCAGCTCACCAAAACCTCTGCCTCCCATGTTCAAGCGATTCTCCTGCCTCAGCCTGAGTACCTGGGATTACAGGCACCTACCACCACTCCCAATAATTTTTGTATTTTTAGTAGAGACAGGGTTTCACCACGTTGGCCAGGCTGGTCCTGAACTTCTGACCTGAGGTGATCCACCTGCCCTGGCCTCCCAAACACCTGTACTGGAATTACAGGAGTGAGCCACTGCACCCATCTGGTTTCTTGGATGCTCCTGCTTCAGCCTCCCAAAGTGGTGGGACTACAGGCATGAACCACTGTGCTTGGTTGAGATTTCTTTATTGGTATGTCAATCTTCCTTTTGGATCTCCAGGGAGAAGTATTTTGCCAACACCCTTATAGTATGGCTCTATTCTTAAAGCACCACATACTTTGGGAACATGAAATTGGTCAACTCTCCTAGACTTTTTAAATTCAAATATAAGTAGCAGGTTGACACGTTTTGAATTTTTACTGTGCATATATATTGCTGGTTTCCCATTCAACCATGTTAACAAGTTTATGATATAGGTATTTATTCCTATTTTGCAGATGAGGCTACTGAGGCATACACAGATTAAGTTACTTGCTTGTATGTTGGACACACACAGCTGCCATGTGACAGAGTAGAAATCTGGGCCATCTGACTATCTACACTCATAATCACTACGCAATTCTGCCTTCCCAAAGGTAAAAAAAAAAAAAAAAAAGTATTAATGAGAATGAAAAGGAATCAAGGCCTCCAGCAGGCATTGAGTACACGCAAGAACTGGTCAGAAGGGCAATATGTAATCAAGAGAGCATTCTTGAACTGAGTCAGACCTTCTGCACCAGACCACTGGAGAAGGGGTAGTATACAAGCTCAGAACCCAAAGATAAGAGGCACCACCGCTACCGTTAACAGAACTAAGAGCACTTTAAAAATCCTTTTATAAGATTTCTTTTTGTTTGTTTTTTGAGACAGAGTTTCGCTCGCTCATTACCCAGGCTGGAGTGCAATGGCGCGATCTCGGCTCACCACAACCTCCGCCCCCTGGGTTCAGGCAATTCTCCTGCCTCAGCCTCCTGAGTAGCTGGGATTACAGGCACGCGCCACCATGCCCAGCTAATTTTTTGTATTTTTAGTAGAGATGGGGTTTCACCATGTTGACCAGGATGGTCTCGATCTGTTGACCTTGTGATCCACCCGCCTCGGCCTCCCAAAGTGCTGGGATTACAGGCTTGAGCCACCTTAAATTGTTATTGAAGAAGGATAACAATTTAAAATCAGAAGATTTAAGCTCTGCCTTTAAGTGCAGAGCTCTTTCTTGTATAGTCAGAAACAAGTCCCAAGTCTCTTTATGACTATGACACCTAGATTATGTCCTATTAAACTATTGCAAAGATCAAATATAACATATGCTAAGGTGCTTTAAAGACTCCAAGGTTCTATTGAGATAAGCTAAGTTTTTTAGACAGTGGGATAAGAAAATCAGCATTCTGATCCACCATTTTGACTATAATTTAAGGAAGGGTATATTTTAGCCATGAATCAAAAAAGGCTCAATAACGCACATAAGACTTGAGAAGGAGTTCCTGCAAATATGCTTTTGATGATGATGCAGTATATTTTCCTGGATGGGTATAAGTGACAGGAAAATACTTTTTTTTTTTTTTTTTTTTTGAGACGGGGTTTCGCTGTTGTTACCCAGACTGGAGTGCAATGGTACGATCTCGGCTCACCGCAACCTCCTCCTTTCCTCCTTCTGGGTTCAAGCAGTTCTCCTGCCTCAGCCTCCCGAGTAGCTGGGACTACAGGCGCACACCACCATGCCCAGCTAATTTTTTATTTTTAGTAGAGACGGGGTTTCACCTTGTTGACCAGGATGGTCTCGATCTCTTGACCTCGTGATCCACCCGCGTCGGTCTCCCAAAGTGCTGGGATTATAGGCATGAGCCACCGCGCCTGGCCTCATTTTTTTTTAAATTTTAAATTCTTTGAACACAAATCTTCTTGAATACAGGTGGTTTTGGAGAAGCAATAAGGAGTTCACATAGGCACACGGTACATTCTAGGAAGATGAAGGCAGGGAAGGACACAGAGCCTACTTCCTGACAACCAAAATCAATCGTTAAGCACTGTGACCACGTGCTTGAGAAAAAGAGAATACAGAAATATTTTCAATGCATTCTCCATTTCCTGGACAGTCTCCTGTTAGAAGAGGAATTCAGAACAGTGGTGTAGAAAACACATTTGGTTGCTGGGATAGCAGAGCTGTACTTGCATACCAATCCCGTGCTTCAATGAGAACGCACACCTTTACACACTGATGTAAGGAGGCTCTGCTTGTGTACAACTATGGCATC